AGATAACAAACTCACCCCGCACAATAAAAAAAAAGGTTCCATCCTTTTGTGAAAGTCAGCAGAAAAAGAACAACAAGTGAACCGAGTGCGAGACTCAGTGCTTCAGTGCCCTATTTTCCATTGCTGTTTCTTTCAGGAGCCATAAAGGCTTTTATGGAAATGGCAATTGTTATTGCTATCCATCAGGAGGAATCAGGCATGGATTCGACAGATGTTCGGATCAAGAAGAATGATAAAATCTTCTTCAGTTGGCATCGAGTGCCTTTCGTTAACGGATGATCCGTTGGGCCTGAAATTTTGGCGGTTGACTTTGGTGAGTATTGTTAACTTAGCCTATTTTTTTCAAATTTTTCTGATGGTAACTTTTTGTTTTTTGTCTCGGACTCGGACGCGTCGTTAACGACTTCCTGTCTCCAGGAGTCGACAAAAGTTAATGGGTCTCCTGGAGTTGGTGGCCTCAAACATTGTTTCGCGAATCGTTTGTTTGCTAAGTGGCTTCATGCTGTTAGGGATCTTCAAGTTTGTCAAGGAGAGATTCTTCCAAGTGAAAAGTGAGTTCAAAAAAAATATTTTTTCTTCAGAAATAACAGTGTTTTCAAAATTTTTCACAGATGGCGTTTCTGAGGATTGTGACGTTGCTGCTGTGGTTGCTGGTCGGTGCGGGTGCAGATTGTGGACCAGACGACGGGGTCTTCAAGTGTCGGGACGTTTGCGGAGAGGAGGTGCGGGACGCCGGCGGCTACGGACGTCGGGTGACATTCATCGGGTCGACGCTGTTTTTGGACTGCGTTCGTCAGGCGGATCTCAAGGTGAGTTTTTTTGATATGTTTGTTGAGGTGGAAATAACAGCTTCCCTGTTTCTGAAGGAGGTGAAGCTGATGTTGCCAACGGTCTGCGTTGGGCGTTGAGTCGACGTGGACAGTGTCGTGACGCCTTGGAGGTGGTGCGAGGAAGTCGTGCCCCCCGAACCAGAGATCTCGACGGCGGCAGTTCCGCAGGTGGTTGGTGAGTTGTTTCAGCTTTTCCACACAGACATAAAACATTACAAACACAACTCACACATATAACATCATAACACATATCCAACACCTGACCAACACCAAGACGAAAATTTTCTTTCACCACTTCTAATAAAAATTTTGTATATACAGATGAGCCTCGCCCGGTGGCGCCGACGGCCAACCTGGCGGTTGTCCACGTGCCGGCGAGCAAAACGCCGTTTGTGGCTCGGGCGCCGCCTTCAACGCAGCAAAGCGTCGTGGTGGCCCAAGAGGTGCCACACGTCATCAAAGCACCGTCGTCGACGCTGGAGGTGACGGTCAACATCAAACATGGTGTTGCACATGTCGAGGCAGACGTGGACCCTTGGACGGCCATGGTCCTAGTTTTTATGGGCCTTGGAGGTGCTGGGGCTACGTCTCTGGCTGTCTTCCTGGTTTGGCTAGTCAAGTTCATCAGGAACAAGGTTAGCCAATTTTCTTTTGCTTTTTTAAGAAAATGATTAACAATGCTTTTTGCTTTCGTGCTTGCTTTGCTTTTTTGTGCATGCCTTTGAAAAATAGAGAAAGAAAAGAATTTTGAAGCTTGATAAGGCTAAAGTCAAAGAATGCATAGTAGGATCTATGCCCAACATATTTTTTAATGGGCTAGGTTCTGATGATGAGGAGTTTGAAGTTTTTTCTCAGAACTATGCAGATATCAGGGCTAGGTCCCCAAGAGTTTCAACATTTAGACAAGGTGAAACAAATAACATGTAATTTACAAAAAAGCGCATGCAATAATTTTTGATGCTTTTGCTTGGGGCTTTTTCTTTTGTCTTTTCTGTACAGTCATCGTACATGAGAGAACTGGTGCGGATGCTGACGCCGGCGGATCAGCAGGATCCGGAAGACCA